GGATGAACTGAGGCTGCTCCAGGACGGGAATGAGATATGGGGCCCCAATCACCATATCCAACACGACTGGCCTATGTGGACTACTCGGGTAGTCAACTAGAACTTTGGGCTGCTTCAAGAAGTGCTCGAAACAGTACGACCCCATGAAGTAATCTATAATTGTCTTTGACTTCTTAGTGTACAATGTGTGCGTGTCTGGAACGATCACCTGGACCCCAGCCCTGGTCGGGAACTCCGTTTCGATCACTTTGGACGGGCACACATTGAAATCTCCTGCTAGCAAGAGCGGCAAAAGGTGGTCGGAGACGGCCTGCACAACACTGGTCAGCACTGTGGGGTTCTCCTCATTCAAGCCAACGGAGTCGGCCAGATACAGCGATCCTAAACAGAAAGGTTGGTGACCTGGAGCCTCAATGCTGACGACAGTAGCCCGAGACTTCTGGAAACCTTCAGGAAGAGGTAGCTTGGTAATTCCAAGATCTAGGCCAGAACGTACTAGTACTCCAGTACCCTGACACGGAAAACCCTTGGTACTCAAAACAGCTGGCGACAAAATTGCTAACCATCCCCTGTTCGCACAACACTCCGTTTCTTTGACCAGATCATATTCCCGAATGCGCGTCTCCTGGCAACAGATAATCTGGATTTCCTTGGCCTCCTTGGAAACCATGAACTTACGGACTCCAGACCAACTGCTACAATTGAACGTGCATATTCTGAGGTTGTTACCCGTCCAACGGCTTAGCCTCACCCGAGCCTGTGCCGCCAGGTGCAGCAGCGGCAAGACGGGCCTGGCGCTTGGCGAGGCGGTCCTGCGCCCCCTGGGCCTCCTCGCTGAGGCAATGGATGCCCGTGGCGGTGGAGAGGACCAGGTGCTCGCCGTTCCCCGCGTGCTTGCGAATGACGCCACGGTGGCTGTCATCCTCCATGGCGGCTGCAGCAGGCCCGAGCCCTTCTCCAGGCCGATCAGGTGGGGTGGGCGTCTGGACTGCAACAGGTTGAGCACCACTATCAGGCGCCCCAGGTTGAAGCACTTGCGGCGGCTGCTGCTGCTGCTGCTGCTGCTGGTGTTGCTGCCACTCCTGCTCCAGCTTCTTGTTGACCTCCACGAGCTCCTTCTTGATGTGGTCTGGCAGGCCCTGCGGGAACCTACTGTCCACAAAGTTGAGCAAGGTCGTGTCTTCTTTGTTGTCGGGGCCATTGAGGCGAGCAGCCGCCTCCGCCACTGCTGCCTTCGCTGCCACGCTGTGCTGAGCCTCCAGCTGGGAGACCTCGGCGAGCAGCTCCTTGTACGATTCCACGGACTTGTCATACACCTCGGCGGCCTTGTCCAGGCTGATGAGGTTCTTCTCAACTTCGCCCTTCTTCGACTCGAGCCTGCGCTTCTGCCGCTGGAGCTGGTCGGCCAGCGACTGGGTCTTGGCATCCAGCGACTTGCCCTCGAGCGCCTTGGTCTTGGCCAGGCGGAGGTCTTCGCAGGCCTGGATGTACTGCTTCCCCTCTTGGCCGACCGTTTTCTTCCAAAAGTTGACAGCCTGGATGCAGATGGCCACGTCGTCCTTGGCTGGGTCGGTGCCCTCTGGAGCGAGGGACGACTTGGGACCATGATCCTGCTGCTGTTGAGCCTCATGTCCACGGGATGCACCTCGGCTGCGAGACCACCTGTTGCGAGGGGCCTGCTGGGTGCTGCCACCATCATCTTGTCCTGCCGATTTGTGACCTGCTGGACGGGAGTGATGAGGCTGAGGCTTGAAACTGCGTCCGCATTCAGAACAATGCTTGTGACCACCATGCCCTTGCCAGGTCCATCCCCAGCAGCTGGGCGTCTGGCAGTAGCATTTCTTCCACTGCTTGTAGCCTCCCATGGCTGCGGGGAGACTGGGTGCTGGCCGTTCGCAGCGGCGACCAGCAGAAGAAAAAAACTGAGGTTGTGCGTTGCTGGAAACCTGGGACCGAGGCAGCCTGGCCTGAGGCGGGCTGCCGTTCCACCTCGGTCCTCGAGCCTCTGGAGTCGGGACGGGAGGTAAGCTTGAGCCAAAGTGGCCACGGGGGAGGAGGAGGAGGAGGAGGAGGAGAAAGAGGAGGAGGAGGAGGAGGAAGGAGGAGGAGGAGGAGGAGGAGGAGGAGGAGGAACATCGAGGCTCGAGGAGCGACCCTCGATCCCCGATATCGAGGGTCGAGGATCGAGGATCGAGCATCGACCCTCGATCCTCGATATCGGGAACCGAGGATCGAGGATCGATCCCCGATCCTCGATCAAGCTGGAGGAGCTGGAGAAGCTGGAGCTGGAGGGGAGGAAAAACATCGAGGATCGAGGATTGAGGCCTGTGCACGTTTCGGCCCTTTCAGAACCTCCGGAGGCCTCTGAAGCCTCCGCGGGGACCTCTGGATCCATCTGGGGGGCTCCAGAAACCTTTGGAGAAGCCTAGGGTGGGCTGGGGGTCATGCAGTTGGAGTCGTGCCACGCAGGGATTCGTAAGTACGGAACGAGGACCCTTTTGGCCATGGTTGGCCCAAGGATTACGAGGAGCGCCTGAAAAGAAATCTGAGGAAGAACCTGGGGGACCTGGGGAAGGGAGAGAAAAAGAGAGGGTGAGGGGCAATGGAGGAGGGTCGGAGCAGGGGGGGGGAGGGGAATCCAAGTCCCCCCCCCAGCCTCCCAGCCCCCTGCCGATTCCCACTCCCCATTCCCGCTCGCAGCTCCCCCGTTTCGCCCTCTCCCTGCTCGACTCTTTCCCGTCTCTCCTGCGCTGCAGGCATGATAGCTGTGCCACTCTCAACTCAGGAGGACGGGGAGGAGGAAAGGAGGAAAAGGAAATTGTTTTTGCCGATTGAAATCGCCGATTCGCCGACTTACAGACCAATGCCAGACTTACGCAATGCTCTAAAAAGAAAGATCCTTTAGACCATTGAGCTGGCACCGCAGCCTCCTCGGGGGTCAGCTGGGGCTCAGAGTTCACACCCGCCGAGCACACCAGGAGTGCTGCACGAAGCTACGAGGTCGGCCCAGGGCGACCCCAAGAGGGCGTCAGGGCCCGAGAGGTCCGCTGGACATGCCCAGCACGGTCGAAGAGTCAGCCCAAGACAGCCCAAAGACCCCCCCAAACGGCGTGCCCAAACAAGAGTGCCCCGAACGACCCCCAGGAAGCCCCCGAGGCCCTGCCACGCAGTAGTCAGTGCGCCTCGGGCCACGCAAAGCCACAGAAAGGCCACACGTGAGCGCATTGCCCGAACGATCGAACGAAAGGTGTAGGCGGATGTGGCGTAAGAAGCCTTATGCAGGCCCTCCTCCTGGTCAAGCGGCTCCACGCACACCTTGCCGTTGCAGATGGCAACTTTGCTGCCGGCGCGGCCGCAATACAGGTAGTTCTGGCGCACCTTCTCGTCCAGGAGGTGGGGCACCTGGCGGCGCAGCCCCCGCGCGCCCTCCAGCGGCTGCGCCTGCAACTCGGCAAGGCGAATGACCTCGTTCCGGGCCCTGTCGTCCACGAACGTCACCTCCAGGTCTTTCGCGCGGTCGGCTGGCAGCCGCCACGTCCCCCTGCGCAGCTCCGCGAGTGTCTCCTCCAGCTGCATGTCCAGCAGCGCCGCCGTCTCGGCCTGCAAGTCGCCCTGTGCGTGGTCGTCCGCCCTCGACAGCGGCAAGAAGGCGAGGGTCCTGTCGACGCGGCCTGCGAACCATGGTTCGAACACCTTGCCCAGCTCGGCGCGCAGCTCGCATTCCATATGCTCGGCCACTTCGCTCAGTACCCGCCGGCGCAAGCGCGCCGTACTGGTGTGCGCAGGCTTCCAATACGGCTTCAGTGCCTTGCGCCACCCCTCGGTCATCCGCAACACCGCCGGGTCAAGCTTGTTTATGGTAATTATCCATAAAATCTTGTGGCACATCACAGTGCGTGACTGTGCCTGCGCGTTACTGTGCAGCTTCTTGTCCGTCCAGATGCCTTCGTCCAGCACGGTCAGAAACTGCTTCCTGACCTCATCATCCGCCTTGTCCAACTCATCAATCAGCACCACCGCTGGCCTGCCCTGCTGCTGTGCCACAAAGTTGTTCAACTCCGAGCCTTGCTCAGAGCCCTGCCACGCCCCGCTGGCTCCGAACAGCTCGTGCGAAGTCCTGTGCTTAGAACAGTCGGCTCTGTGGAACCGGCTGCTCCCGAATAGTCGGCTCAGCGCGTGCGCGAGCGACGTCTTCCCAGTGCCCGAGGGGCCGGCGAACACCAGGCTCAGCGGCTTCGTGTGCGTCTGCCCCGCCAGCTTCGTGGTCCACACGCCGAGAGCGGCCGCCAGTGTGTTCAGCGCGACTGGCTGACCCACGAGCTCCATCAGCAGCTCACGGGCGAACGCGAGCTCTTGCACACCCGCTTGGTCCGCCATCGGAAAGATGGTCTGCTGGTAAACGCTGGCAGGCGCTGACCTCCTCCTAGCCTGAGCGCCCCTCCGGCGCCCGCGGGCGTGGAGTGGCCGCGATGGCTTCGGGTGCCAGGGAAACGGGCGCTGCACCTTCCTGCCTGGGGTATGTGGGATCTCGGCGGCGGGGCCCGGCCAAGAGTCAGCAATGGGGTATCGGTTGCATGAGGCTCTGCGGCGCGTATTGTGGCGGCACGTCCGGAGTGGCTCGCAGATCCAGAAACACTCGGGGCGAGATGTGTTATCGGAGGCAGCGAGCAACCAGCAAGCCACGGGGGGACCAGCAGTCCAGCGGGTCAGCCGCCCGGTTGGTGCCGGCCCAAGGGCCCACCACACGCAGACTGCATCGTGCATGTCACACACGTTGTGTTGAGAATTTGGGAGTGGTCAATATTGTTACAGCAAATGTGCAAGGCATGAGTCACGTCAGAGCCGATTCTCGCCTGAAGTGGGCCGGCATCGTCGATGAGGCCCGGGCGGGGGATTGGGACATTACGCTGTTATCAGAGATGCATGCTCCAGATGACAATTGTGATTGTATTGTCCGTGTGGAGGAATACACTGTCGTGATTGCTCGGAGTGCTGCCATCATGCTCAGCCCCGCTGTCGCCAAGCTGTGGTGGGATCAGTACGTGGCGCCCACATTTTCGCCGTCAGGCAGGGCTGTCGCATTACACATCGCCATTGGTGGTCGGAAGTATGCTTTTGTTTCTGTGTACGCTCCGCACGCCGAGCGGCCAGCATCTGAACGAGAGGCGTTCCGCGACGAGCTGACGACCCTCCTTGCCGCAATCCCTGCGGGGACGGCTCGCATTGCAGGGGGCGACTGGAATGCTTCCATTCATGCTGATATGGCTGCGCGGCTTGGCTGTGGGACTCGTCTGCTGCCCGGGAGCACGTCGTCGCACGCTCAGGACGTCCTGGGGTGCCTGAACGACAGTGGCCTGAGCCACCTGGACTCGCACCTGGCTACCAGGCACCGTGCGACGTTCCGCTTCCCTCAGCAGACGATGGCCGCGAACCGCTGGCGGGAGTACGACTACTTCGCCACGGACATGCCGTGCTCTGCTGGCCTCTGGTGCCAACTGCGGACAGGGGCCCTGCCGTTCGGGGACCACTTCTTCAAGAGGGTCCGCCTTCAGCTGCCGGCGGCGCCGGGGGCCAAGGAGCGACGTCTGGCAAGAGGCCCCCCGGGCACTGTCCAGTCTGGCTTCGGCGACGGAGCTCGGCATGTGGGCCCCATCCGACGCGAGTGGATGCAGGGCCCTTCCGCCGCAGCCACCGCGTTGAGGGAGCAGTACTCCGCGGCGGCAGACGCGGCACTGGACGCTCGGGGCGCGCCAGAGGACGAGATGGCCTGGGACGACCTTGCTGCGGTGCTCAGGGTCTCTGCTGCGGGTGTCGTCGGCCGCTCCGCGGGCGTCAAGGTTGAATGCCCGTTCGTCGCCCAGCTGCGCACGATTGGTCGTCAGAATGCCACTGAGCGGCGGCTGGCCTGGGACGCCGTGCGTCGCGCCCGGGGCACGCCTGGCGAGGAGGTCGCAGTGGCCGCTCACCGTGAGACTCGCAGGCGGCATCGGCTTGAGCACCGACAGGCCCGGGCACGACTCGTCAAGGAAGTGGCGGCCGACCTGACCCGGGCAGCGGCCGACAACGACACGGGAGCACTGTACCGAGGCCTTCGCCGCCTGGGCGTGTGGCTGAGCGACCTCGCCCCCGCGGAGGCCCTGCCGTTCACTCCGAAGGATGCTCGCGACCACCTCCTGAAGCTGGACGAGGCTGCTCCGGCGGTGGACGCTGCTGCGCTGGACACGGTCCCGCCGCACGTCTGGCGCGACGCCCTCCCGCCGGGCATGTCCGACCTCGCGGAGCCTCCCTCGGCCGACGAGGTACGCGCTGCCATGCGTGCGATGCGGGATTCTGCCCCTGGAGACGACGAGGTCAGCATCGGCGTGATCCGGGCCGCCAGCGCCAGGGTCCAGGAGCAGGTCATCCGCCTAGCGCAGCAGATGTGGGTGACCCCGCCAACCGCCTGGAGGGACCAATTCGGCGAGACGCCTTTTCGGGGTTTGCAGATATTGTTGTTCAAGAAGAAGGGGCTGCGGACGGATCTGAACAACTACAGAGGTATCTGCCTCCTGTCGGTGTTGTCGCGGATTCTTGCCAAGACGGTGGCCACCCGCCTGGCCCGATGGGCAGAAGAAGCTGGGGTCCACTCCAACACCCAGTGGGGGAACCGAAAGTATCGGTCCACCCGCGACGCCATTCTGGTGGCGAGGGCGACAATGGAGGAGGTGACCAGACTGCCCCGGGCGCCTGGCGAGAACACGCTCTGCTTGATTCTGTTTGACATCATGAAGGCGTTTCCTTCTGTTCCTCGCCCACTATTACGTGCTGTCCTTCTACGGCTGGCGCTCCCCGCAACCCTCGTGGACCTGGTGATCGGCCTGCACGACGTCACCTTCTACGTCGTGCGGACGGCTGCGGGCGACTCCGACCCCTACTGCCTCAGGAGAGGCGTGCGGGAGGGATGCCCTACCTCTGGCTTGCTTTTCACACTGTACCACGCGGTGGTAATGGCCGCGATTCTGCCGAAGCTGCCCAAAACTTTGGTCACTTACGACCCAGAGCGGCCCCTCCCGAGGGCGGCGCCCGCAGCGGAGACGAAGCAGACCCTGGTGCTGGACACGCTCTGCTTCGTCGACGACACGACTGTGCTGCAGGAGAAGCGCCACTGTGCCGCCACGGAGCAGGTTGTCAGCGACGGCCTGCGGGCGTTCGGTTCCCTGATCCACCCGGGCAAGACCGAGCGCTACCTTCCGCACGGAGCGGCTCCGGCCACTGGCGCCGAGCCCGCCTGGCAGCCCGCCGTGAAGCTGCTAGGCGCTTGGTTCGACGCAGATGGCTCGTACGTTTCTGACGACAACCACCGCTTGGAGGCTGCTCGGAAAGCTTGGCGGGCCCTCTGGAGGCAGATGCCCAGGCTCGGGCTGACCGTGCGGCAGAGGGGCTCCATCGTGCAGGCAGCTGTCATATCCAGCCTCCTCTACGGCGCAGAGGCGAGAGCCTTCCACTCGACCACCATCGTGCGGTACCAGCGGTTCGTCGACAGAATGGTGCGGGGGCTCACAGCGTGCCGTCTCCGCTCCATGAGGGGCCTCAAGACGGGTACCGACCTGCGCAGGGAAGCTTGCATCCAGTCGATCGAGGTGCAGGTGAAGCGACGCCAGTATCAGTACTTGGGACACGTCGCCCGGTACCCGCCGGAGCGGGTCGAGCGCTGCATCCTCGGCGCCTGGATCCCAGGTGTCTCGGACTTGACAATGGGCCGCGGGGAGGGCAATCGTCTGCGGCTGCGCACGCAGTACTGGACCCGCATCCGGGAGGTCATGTGCCACACTGACGTGCCTGAGGCAGAGTGGCCGCAGCGCTGGATGGCCACGGCCGCAGACCGGCCGGTCTGGCAGGCAGCTGTTCGGGAGGCCGTGAAGATGGCCGAGGAGCACGCCCTCCGTGACTCATGGGTCCTGCGACACTCCGCGGAGGCCGAGGCGGCGCGGCAGCTCCAGGCAGCGGCGCCAGTGCACCCCGAGGACGGAACGCTGCAGTGTCCCAAGTGCCAACGCTGGTTCCCGAAGCAGGGCTTCCGCCACCACGCTCGGCAGTGCGACGGCGGCCCAGCTAAGGTCCCGCCGCGGCGCACGCTCTGCGACAGGTGTGGCAAAACCGTGTCCTGCATATCCGACCACCAGCGGCGCCCTGCTTGTCGGGAGGCGGCAGCCGCGAAGGCCCGCGCACGTGCGGCCGCCACAGCTGGACCCCCGCCGCGTGCCATGCAGGGGGTGGCCGAGGAGGAGGAGGAGGAGGAGGAGGAGGAGGAGGAGGAGGGCGCTGGAGCAACGGTCCGTGTCCGAATCGTCGGCAAGCGGCCTGCCGCCGCGGGCGTGATCCGGCGTCGGCCAGCCGCCGCGTCTTCTCCGCCCTTCCTCCGGCGGCCCGCTGCAGCTGCTCCCTCGTCGGGCGTCCTCCGGCGGCCTGCGTCGGCGGTTCCTCCCGCTGCGGCTGGGGCGCCTCCCCCGCCCCCGCCGCCCCCTCCCCCCGCGGCGCCGGCCGCCCCCCGCGTCGCCTCCCACGCGCGGGAGCGAGCAGGCACCGCCCAGGAGAGGGCCGCCCGGGCCCAGCTACTGCGCGACGGCCCTCGCGAGCCGGTGGTCGATGCTGACGGGGCCATCGCAGCAGCTGCGGCGGACGAGGCCGCTGGCTGCTTCTCCGTCCGCTCCCTCTGCCATTACTGCAGCCAGGAGCACTCCGAGCCTCCGGGGCGGTGCAAGGCAGCCCCTTTCCGTGTTTGGCTGTACTGTGTGCTCTCGAGACGCGGACCGCCCAAGCCAGAATGGACCGAACTCTGCCCCTCCTGTGGTCATTTGTGGAAGAGTGAGATCGCAGTGCGGGGCCGCAAGATGGAGTGTACGCGTCGCCGCCTCGCTGCCGGGCTCAAACGTCCTCAGCGTGTGCGGGCCCCTGGCCCCTGACCATCCCGTGGGCGGGGCCGTGCCATGCAGGGCCTCGCTGCTGCGCGCGCCGCCGCCGCGAGTGCAGCCGCCCCCGCCTCTGCCCCTGCGGCGGCCGGCGCCCTCCCGGCGGCCGCCGGCGGCCCGCCCCCGGCAGGAGGCCGCCTGGCGGAGAACGACAGGAGGCTGTTGCACACTACCGCCGCCCTCGTGGTTGCCCTCGACCGACAGGTGCAGCTCCACGATGACAGGGTCTCGTGGCTCTTCGTGCTATGGGCCGAGCCGCTCAAGCAAGAGACCGTGCGGGTCCGGGACGCCTGGAGAGCGGCCGACCCGTGGAGGGGCCAGCAGGATGGCGACGCTGATGCTGCTCCTGGCCCTCATCCGATGGGCTCCCAGAGGTCGGTGCTGCACGCCCTCTTCTTCGACCACATGGCCTCCCAGCTGCCAGCGGAGAGCCCCCACCGGGCCGCCCTGGACCTGCTGCGCGGCCTGGACGGCGAGGCGCTCGACCGCTCGGTGTTCCGGCTGCAGGCCAAACACCGGGAGCCTCGCGAGGGCACCCCTTGGGCGTGGCAGCTGGTGCTGTGCGCCGGCGCCCCCTCGGAGTACGTGTCCTCGCTGCACAGGGTCGCCCGGGAGTTGCGCGGCAGCTTCGGCTCCATCAGCTTCATGGCTCAGCGCTCCCGGGACGGCCCCCTGTCCTTGGAGATCCGCTCCGAGCTCGGCAAGAGCAAGGGCGGTGGCGGGAGCGGCAAGGGGGGCAAGAACGCCAACGGGAACACGGGCGGGGGCATGGGCATGGGCATGGGCATGGGCGGCGGCGGCGGTCGTGGCGGGAAGGGCGGCGGCCGCCGCGGCGGAGGAGGAGGCAGGAGGCGCGGCAAGGGCGGTGGTGGTGGTGGTGGTGCGGGGGGCAGTGGCGAGGCCGCGGCGGGCGGCGGAGGGAGCGGTGCAGGGAGCAGCAGCGGCGGAGGAGGAGGTGGAGGAGGAGGAGGCGGCGGCGGCGGAGGCGGAGGAGGAAGCGGCGCCGACGCCGGCGCCGCACCCAGCGCGGTCCGAGGGGGAGCAGCACCCCACGCAGGCAGAGGAGGAGGCAGAGGAGGAGGAGGAGGAGGAGGAGGCGGCAGCGGAGGTGCAGCGCCCCACGGAGCGGCCGCGCGTCCGCCCCCGCAGCAGCGGATGGGGCCAGCCGCCCACGGGGCTGCGGCCCCTGTCGCCGCCGCGCGGCCTGGCCGCAGCCGGAGCGAGGAGCGCGGAAGGCGGGCCGCGCCGCACCCTGGAGGCGCGGACTGGGACATGTAGGAGCGTGAAGATAGTCAAGCCTTGCGCAAAGATGACCGCACTTCGGAATCGTGAAGTGTATCCCATTTTTCTCAACCACAGGCTGTGGCAGCTGGCAGTCTGGAGTGCCGCTCGGGCGCGCCGCGGCGGCCCCCGCGGGGGTGCCGTAGGCGGCCCCGTTGCTGGCACCACCCCGCCCGCTGGGCCGGCCCCTGCGGGGGTGGCCCGCAGGCTTGCGGCTGGCGGCAGGACGCCGGTCCCTGGCGCGGTCGCCGTACGGCGGCCCTCGTGCGCGAGCACATGCTGGTAAACGTCCTGGCGCAGGAGGTCCTCTTCCACCCGCGCCTTCTCGACGAAGTGCCGCACGGCGGGCGAGGCGGTCTCCAGCAGGTCTGGGCACAGCTCATTGGGGCTGCAGCCCAGACCCAGAAGCACCTGCATCCACCGGATCCGATCGCTGGGCTGCAGCACGTCACAAGTGAGAGCAGCCTGAAACAGCTCACTGTGCAACCCCTTGCCGCTCAAGTGCCGAAGCTTGTCGGGATATCGGAGAACAGCTTGTACAAACTCGAAGTTCTTAGTCTGCACCGCCATGACCAGGAGGCCCCGCAACTCGGTGCTGCTGACCACCTCCTGCAAATGTATCTGCCAGTCGTTCCTGCCCTGATTGAGCTTCCATTCGAGTTGGCGAAAAGCGTGGGAGGGCTTTTGCGACGTCGCGATGAGGGCCATCGCAACAGCCCTCCCAAACAACATTCACTGTTGAATGGAGAGCGCTCGAGCTGGAATGACTACGGTCACTCTTCGAGCGTCGCTTCGCGGCGTGGCTCCTGCAGCGCATGCAGAGAAGAAGAGATCCTAGATCCACAGAGCCAACGGGGGTCACATCCTCGAGACAACACAGATGTTGTAAGAGTTTCGGCGGCATCTCCGCAGGACAGATGCGACAGGTGAATACTTCTATGTAACAATGCAGCCGCAAGATATCTCCACGGGCCGCTTCTGGGAGGGTTGTCTCCTCTTTGAAATGTTGTCTGCATGGTTCCTTTGTTATTCGATCCCGCTTTACCGAACACGCCAGCGCCACTCTGATCCGAGCAGGACGTTTCAGGGATCGTTCTCCATTGAGCATTTGAGCGCCACAGTGTTTTTGTGCTTGAACTGCGAATGTTGTGAAGGATATCAATATATAGATTCCCATCTGGGGTGAGGAAGAGCCGGGCTTCGCGCGCGCACGTGTCGTGCGAGTATTCGCGTGCGTGTGTGCATATGTGTATGTGTATGTGTGTGCGTGCGTGCATGTGTGCGTGTGTGCGTAAGCGCGTATATGCGGGCGGGCGGGCGGGCGTAAGTTCGTGGGCTCGCAAGTGCAAGTGCAAGTGTAAGAGTAAGTGTAAGTGCAAATGCAAAGACAAGTGCTCGTGCAATTAAAAGTGAAAGTGGAAGTGTACGTGTAAGCTTGAGTGCGAGTGCAAGTGTAAGTGTAAGTGCACGGGGAAGCATTTGCAAGAGTGAGTGTGAGTCGAAGTGCAAGTTGACTTGCAAGTGCGAACGAAAGAGTGAGTGCAGGCGTAGAAGGTAGTGAAAGTGCAAACGTAAGTGCAACTCCGAGTGCAATGTTAAATTTGTGTGGGTGCGCGTGTGTGCATGTGTGTGCGCGTGTGTCCGATTTTCTACGCCGCGCCGCTGCGCGGGTGGCCATGACGCCAAACATGTGTAGTGTGTGTGTGAGTGTGTCTGTGTCTGTGTCTGTGTCTGTGTGTGCGTGTGTGTGGTATGTGTTTGCGCGCGTGTGTGATGTGTGCATGTGTGTTTGTGTGTCTGTGCGTGTGTGCGTGTGTGCGTGTGTGCGCGTGCGCGCTTGTGAGTGTGCGCGTTTGCGTTTGTATGTGCGTGTGTGCGCATGTGTGTTCCTGTGTGTAGGTGTGTGTGCTTATGTGTGTGTTTAGGTGGGTGTGCGAGTGCGCGTAAGTGTAATAGTGTGTGCGTGTGTGCGTGTGTGTGCGTGTGTCCGACTTTCTACGCCGCGCCGCTGCGCGCGTGGCCATGACTCCAACAGTGTGTGTGTGTGTGGGTGGGTGGGTGTATGTGTGTACGCGTGTGGGTGTGTTTATGTGTGTGTGCGCGTGCGTGTGTTACTGTGTACGTGTGTGCGCCCGCGTGTGTGCGAGTGCATGTGTGTGTGTGTGTGTCCGTACGCTCGCGGAAGCGGGGTCCCTCCGGGGACCTCTCGCGGCCGAGTCTTCATCCCCCTCGTCCCTCGTTCCAAGCGCTAGCCAGGAGCCTCGCTTCCTG